AAACCAAGATTATTTACATACAAATAGTTCATCTTCATCTTGTGGTAGATAATGTCCTCAGTTTCTTAAGCTAGCCAGGTTTTGTATTATGTTGATTGAAGTTACCTGTACTAGCTTTTCATGAATAAGTGGTAGCTTTCGTTGTTTCATCGTTGGCTTTTTTTTTTTGGTGTTAGTCAGTTTTTTTTTTTTTTTTTTGGTGTTAATCAGTTTCTTGTCATCGCAGCTAGCTATTTGTAAGTTTGTAGCTGTTGATTTTGATGGGCTTTTGGACTTTTTGAATGTAAAGAAAATTTTTAATCTTTGGTAATCTTTTGGATGTACTAGGCGACCAAATTGGTTATTTTACTGTAAATTTTTTGAATATTGGTAGTTTTGTTGGATCATCCTCGTGAGGTTTTTTGTCTTTGGATGTCTGTCATGGATTAATAATTATTCTGGAAAAAAGTAAGTACTACTGTGGGTAATGCGGCGTTTTCATAGTTACTTTTCTGGGAGTTCAGTAAGTATTCCCTTTCTGAACATTGTATCCATAAATGGTAAATGGTCCTTCCATAGGAGACAGGAAAGCTCATAAATAGATGAAGAGGTCTCATGTTTCCGAAATTGACCGTCTTGTTTAATTCTTGGATTTTCTTTTTATGGTTAAAGGAATTTGTTGTGGCAACAGAAACTACATTTTTGGTTGGGGACTTTTGGACATTAAGCTATTGAGCTTCTTCTTATTGGCAGCCAAAGTAAGAAAAACTGAAGAAACCATCGGATACATGATGTTTGTGCTTCTGCCTTCGTTTCACAGTGCAAACAAACGTTTCGCCCATGCTCCTCAAGTTATTTTGGGCTCGATGACATGATGTAAGAAGAGGATGCATATCGACTCTGAACTAGTTATTCCACTAACTTATCTGTAGTCCTTGAGACTTCATGAATATGAAAGCGAAAGGTCAAGATAGTGTGAAATTGATGGCATTTGCTGTTCTTACACAGCATGTTCTTGCCTTAAGCACTGACAGAACGAGTTGGTGAGATTTGTCAATTTTCTACAAACAGGAAGACTTGGAGAGTCTCCTTGGGTGGAATTGTAAAGACGTTAAATTGTTGCAAATAGTGAAATTTGTCACAGAAATTGGTTTCTAACTCACAATAGTCATCTAGATGAAGTTCATGATGCTCATAAATAAGCTTCTCTTATCTACGATATCATCCTGATTGTGAGACTTTCCTCTGTCTGGAGGCAAAATATCCTCACCTTATTGTCTTCCTTTTGCTGCAAGTTCTAACGAGGACCTGCATTTCTGTTTGTTTGCCATGCTGAGCTGAAGAAATTTGAGTTCTGGGAGCTGGTATATCTGTTATTTATTGTTTTGGATGTGCATGAAACTAATGTTTAAAAGTATTCTGAAATAAAGTATTTGGTCCTGCGCTTGCTACTGTCATTGGGACCATTACATATGCATTGAATTGTAACAATTATGAGGCTATACCCAGTCATGTCTATGTCTAGTCCTGGAGATTCCAGTTTTAATATCAAATCCTGTTTGTTCCTATTGTTATATGTAGCTTGATATTGTTGGATTCCTTTCTTGATAAGAGTCTATAGCTCATATGTTGGATTCCTTTCTTAATAAGAACAACAGGATGCGTGCGATAATTGGAATTTCAATTTGAAAGAAGCTCGTTCTACTGTGTGTGGTCTGCACTTGCAAATCTTTGCCAAGTTTATAAGATACCTCTAAACTAAGGCACAACACTTCAACTTGGTAGGATAGAAGGTTTGTGCCTGCACAGTTGTGTAAAGAATTCGACTGACAGGAAAGGAGTCTTAAATCTTCCCAATTCTAGTTTCAAGTTGTTGCAAAAATCATATGCTATTGTGCTGAATCCTTGTATTGCTTGTTTGTTTACCAGTTTTTTCCCTGTGCAGAGATAGGTGGTCCTGGTGTTTTCCTATCGTTTTCAGTACTAATAGCTTTGTTAGTCTTACCCAGATTTCATCTACTTCCTGAATTTGACCAAGGAAAGCGAAGTTGCCGCAGGCGCCTAGCTGGCCATAATGAGCGACGGAGGAAGCCACCATCTGGATCGGTGCTGTCCGCTCGCCATGGCCGATTTTCTCCCTCTTTGTTCGGTGAGACATTACCTGAAGATGTCATTTGCAATGCCTCTTTAGTTTACTTTCTTCCACTTTAGCATTTAAAATTTCCATCTTTATTTGATTCTTGCAATGGCAGATAATAGCAGCAGAGCTGGAGGCCTTCTTGTGGACTTCAGTGCATATCCAAGGCATACTGGGAGAGATGGATGGCCCGCTCCAAGGTCTTCTGAGCTTGCCCCTGGGAATGATACTGCAGCCACAGGAAGGTCAATATCTCATATGTGGCAGATAAACTCCCAGAATCCTCCATCCAACCTTTGCTTGCAAGGCTCAACTGGCGGGACTGGCCTTTTCAGTTCAGGAATTCCTCCGGGAGAATGCTTCACAGGAGTTGCTGTTTCAGACTCGAGCTGTGCTCTCTCTCTTCTGTCAAATCAACCATGGGGCTCCACAAACCGAGCATCAAGTCTTGCAGTGAATGACTTGTTTAGTGCCGAAGAGGCACCCGTGGTTCAATCAACAGCTACCCATGGTGCAGCTGTCAATCAGTATCCAATCCCTTGGAGCTTCAAGAGCAATGAAGGAAGTAACAGTTCACACGAGATGTGCCCTGATCTAGGTCTCGGTCAAATTTCACTGCCTCTCAGCAGTCAACTTCCTGGTCAGCTCGAGCAGTCTCAACAGAATAGGAGGCAATACATGGACCTCGAGCATTCCAGGGCATATGACTCTTCAACCCAGCACATCCACTGGTCACTTTAAGTGGCCCTGCTTTATTGGTTATTAAAGGCTACTCGGATTAATAACTAGGAAGGTGAACTTCTGTCTGACCTTTTGTTTCGGTTAAACCCAGGATGCTTACTCTTTGGCTCTTGCCCGTGTTTTGATTGTAACATATAGACAAGCAAGGTGCTGTACTTATGCCAGCTTTAAAGTTTGCTGTCAAGAATTATCTATTATGATTGTAGGAGTCCTTCAAAGATTTTAGGCTGTGATGATGGGATCTGGAGCCGAGTTACCCTGCGCAAGGGAACTCGGTGGCTCGCGAGTTCCCATGGCAACTGGCGATTCGATTCTGTTATCTCGGAATGGATATGCCTTTAGCACGTTCTCATTTTCTGGTCTTCTGAAAGAGGGCAGACAGATAGGGATGCCTGCAATGACAGGTGATCAATTACTTCAGCTGACGAGGTTAGCATGAGTTGGACTATAGTGCTCCTACGTGATCGATATCTGCGATGTATGAGAAACGTCACAGCCACAAACACATTCCACCACTTTTCAAGATTGAACTTGATCTGAGAACTGTGTGAGGGCAGAGGAACCTCAACCTTTTAAAAAAGAAAACAAAGTTGACAGAAAAGCCATGATTTGTACTGGTTGTTTTACTAGCCTATTCCGTGGATAGTAATGATTTCAGCGCAGAAAAAAAATATTCAGGTTTTTGTAATGTCTCTGGACTTTAATTATGAATTAAATGATAGCTTAGGTTTGAAATAGAATGATATTGAAAAAAATAGATTAAAAAATTTAATTTAAAATTAATTTTGAAGAATAAAATTAATAAAAAATAAAATTATATTAAAAAATAAAATTAACTCAAGTCAACTAAATAAAATCAGGAGGAAGAATAAAATTAATAAAAAATAATATTATATTAAAAAATAAAGTTAACTCAAGTCAACTAAATAAAATCAGGATGAAAATCATGTATATAATTAGATTTAATAAATTATTTAACTTAAAAATTATTTTTTATTTAATTATACAATAATAAAAAACAAGATATTTTTTTTTGTACAAAACAATATATTTTTTAAAAGTAAAGAAACTATAATAGACATACCGGTCAAGATAACAAAGTTAGATTATTGATGATATAAGATGAAAATACCTTCTTTTATGTTTGAGTTAAAAATATTGTGAATTAATCTACTATATATATAATTAACTCAATTGAGTTCAATTCTTAAAAATAAAAAATAAATCTACTATATATATAATTAACTCAGTTGAGTTCAATTCTTAAAAATAAAAAATAACAAAATAACAAAATCTAAAAAGAAACAGCTGCGTGAATATATGCATTAAAAAAACAACAACATGCATGTGTTATCCAGCCCTTACCATTTGCTTAAACCTATTTTATTTTTTTATTTCTTAAAGAGGGGAATGACCTTTTTTTTTAAAGAAGATAGATAATATGTAGTCTGTTATTTGCATATTCCAGCGTTATAGGAAAATCTAAGGTTTTGTTTTTTCAATTAAAAACTTATTTCAATTTATTTTTAACCTAAAATACTCAAAAATCACTTAAAACAACTTGATAAACCTATCCATGTTCACAAAAATCTCAAAAAACAGTTTTAAAAACTGAAATCAACTTAAAACCAAAACTATTCCCACAGTCATATCTATCTCCTCAAGCAAGAAAAAAAAAAACACATTTAAGTCAAACTCTTCTTCTAAAATGGAACACAATGACTTAAAAATCAATATATTTTTGTTCTAAATCATCAACAATGATAAATTTCTCTCTCCACTTTGAAATTCAGTAAACCTCTCTTCTCTAACAAAAAATATTAAAAAAAATAAGAATAAAATTTTGTACTAAAATTAAATTTCAAAAAATTAAAAATACTGATTACCTAATAACTAAAGAAACTGGAGCCTAAAATGAACTTTTAAAATAAAATTCTAAGACAATATCTAATTAACCTTTTCTTTTCACTTTAGTCCCTATCTTTCAATTCAACTCTCTTTTAATAAAAACATCCAATTAAATACTAATTTATGCTCAAAAGAGCTCAATTGTGCCAAAATAATAATAATAATAATTCAAGGATGATTTTTTTATAAAAAATTAACTAATTAAATTTATAATAATTTGTGAGAGAATAAACCGTTGAAAAAATTACAATGAATTACCCACAGGGAGAAAAGGAGGATAACACAAATGGAGGACCCCGTCTATCCGTAGTTGAGGACTGGGCCTCCCTGGCTAGCATATGGCTACGCTATTTGAGTCTCTAAGGTAGCGAATTGCACAGCTCTAACTCAACAAGCTTCTCACGGGATATCCATGTCCCTCCCACGTCTCTATTAGTCCACTCTTGAGATCATCCATGGCTAAGCATATCCAGCTCCTTGGAATTTGCCTCGTCGGAGAGGAGGAAGGCAGCCAATCAATGTCTGCAACGTGGCCTTTATATAGGGGCAGCCCCCAATCGCGTGCAAAGCGGACACGCTATCCCTTTATCTTGTTCACCACTTGCAACATGACATGTCAACCACTGAAATTGTGTCCCAGGATTAATGGACTTCCAATTTAAAAGATACTTCAACATATGATGACTGTCTCAATCTGACTAAAGCATACACAAGATATTATACAAACATGTTACACAGGTAAGAGAACTAATACTTGTGATTTCTATCTTGGACATGTGTCTTGATTTAGCTGAAAATTGGCACCGAAATGCCGAAAGTGTAAACATGCATATCCAATTAACTGGATGGTGTTTAAAATCCTCTTACATGCACAAACACTCCTGCTTCTCGCATAAATTAGTAAATAGTGATCCAGTCTATGAAGAATGGTTGATATTGATGACCATAGATCTCATTCCCAGCAACATTTAAATAATACATTTGAATGATTAGGAGCCTTCCCTTTTTGACTCGATCCTCACCAAAAAGCACCATCACATATGACCGAAAAGGACAACCATTTGTGAAAATGAAAAAGAATTATACCAAACTCACTCGATTGTGAGCAAGCTCACGTGCAAGAGCAATATGCAAAGTGCAACTTGCAGATGTTGAACAAGTTTGCATTAGTGCCTCTTGCACTAGCAACATCTAGTGGTCGTCTTCGTTTATTCCAGGGCAGTTGGATAGGAGGGCTTCCACTGTTTCATACTGAAACAAACATCATGTACATGTATAAACAGTCAGAGGAGCAAGAGAAGAGGTTAGTGCCACACACTGGCGTCTTTCAAAATGTGCAAAAAACATAACCGTGCAGCCATCATTTTTTAATACTTCAGGTTCAGTGTGGATGTGGGATAACTAATAATTACACACACAGCTTACCTGAAAGCCACAAAACGGACAGTATTGATATTCATCTCTCAGTTTCATCAACAGTTCTTGCAAATCCTGCATCCAAATAAGAGCTTCATTCCATGCTCCAGAAGAAATCAAAGATAATACTTCTCAAAGTAAAGAAGACTGAACAAAATTATTATTGAAGAATTGTGAAGAAGGATATAGTTGGCAGTTGCGCAACGTCGAGGCTGGATTATTTATAATTTGTAGTCATATTGTATATAACCATATATTTGTTTCCTAGATAAGTTGCATTTATGGTCAGCTCTATGCATTCTATCAATCCCGTTAGTCAAAGCACCGAAATTTCAAAATTTGACCCATCTAATTAAATCCCAAAGGTAGACATAAATAATCTATACAAGACTGCACCAGATTTCCATTTACATGTACCTTAAGGAAAAGATAAAAAACATGAAGCATAAACCAACTCTCAAATTGACAACTAAAAACTGTACATTGTGTGTGGATAGTAAAAGAAATGAGGATTCCCCAGAGTATCAAAAAGCTGGGGAAAACAATTTTGAAGATGATGCTCTGGTCTTGAGAGAGAAAAGGCAATCAAAGATCATCTGGCCAGCATTTTCTGGAGTTTTTATACACATTTCCTAAGCCAAAAAGCAATCAATTATTATAACATTTGCGCCCCCCCACCAAAAAATATAAAAATAGAATCAATTATTTGTAACAAGGTACTTTAGTAACATCAAAGGAGTGCACATGCAAGCTTAAACAACATAGATTCTTCATAAGACATATTTATATCATCTCTGACACTTTTTCTAGATTATTGGTTAAATGCTGGGAGAAGTTAACAACCTAGCACTTATTACACCTAAAAGTGTGCGAATGTAGTTGGTGTTCAAGGCAAAACACAATAAAAATGACTATCTATCACGGCATTTTCCTTGACATGAGAATCTGAGAAGGACAAGTAAAAGGAAAAGGTTGAACCACAAAAAGTTCTTCCTAACAACAGCCCAACTGGCATGCAAATGCTGATAAAATAACTTGAACCCAGAAAAATAAATCATGGAAATCAAGATTTGGTAACTGGTTCATAAATAATTTAATCGCAAAGGAATTAACAAAACACCAGAACATTAATATACAATAGGTAAAGCTACAGCTACACCTTGTGGCTACAAAGACATTTGGCAAGTTAACACCAAAATGCATTTATGCCAATATCAAATAACATGAACTATGTGAGCTCAGGTTAAACACATTCCTCAACTAAATGCAATCCTGTTTAATTTACTAAAAAGCATAACTAACTAAATGAATGTTAAGTGCTGACAATGATTTTAGAAAATCTACCTCTTCTGTTATCTCTTCCTCTTCCTCCTCATCCTGCTCAGCATCTTCTTCATCTTCATTCTTCTTTGGTTCCACAACTTCTTTGTTCTCCAATTGATCAAGAGCTGCTTTTGCTTTCATAAAATTTACTACAACTCTCCGACTTCGCCATTGAGACTTTTGCCTTGACCCAAACTCTTCCATTAAATCCCTCTCCTTCATTCTGTTCCTTTCTGCCTCAATCTCTTCTCTCTTCCTCTTCTCCTTATGCGGTTCCTCTCTTCCAATCCCTATTCGTGTCCGCCGAATCTGAATCCCCACTGGCTCAGCTCTTCCTGAACCCTCCTTACCAAGGGCTGAACCAGGGGTGTAACCCATTTGCTTTAACAACTTAAACCCAATGTTGGATGGAGGAATTGGAGCTTCTATTCTTGCCATGGTTTGCTCATCCTCCTCTTGTTGCTTTTTCTCCCTTTCAAGTCTTCGTTGTTCTTGCCAGCTAATGTTTTTCGACTTCTTATTGAATGATTGAAAAGTTGGTGTTTCCTTGTTGATCCTCTGCACAAATGATCACAATCTCACCAAAAAACCACAAATTAAAAACATGAGTTAAAATATAGAACACTATTAGCTTGTAACTTTTCATTTTCAACACATAATATGCTTGGGAAATATATAACTGATGAAGTTACAAGCATATTCTTTGAAAAACACTCCCCATAAATATATAGTTCCAATTAAATAAATAAAGCCCATGTACTTTCCTAAACAAAACCACAAGAACACAGTTACACCCCTTTTTAGATGCAAAAACTACATTAACATAGCTATCTAAGTAAAGTTCTTTACCTTTATTTTTTTCTACATCACTCCTTCCACTAGAAAAAGAAAGCTTTACCATATAAATCTTCAACCAACAGTGCTTCGAATCAATTCAGGTTTCGAACAGGATAATCAAATTGCATTAGGGTTTTTTTTTTAATCATACAATGAAATACAAAATGCCTACTCTGAATGTCAAAAATCTCTACCAAAGCCTTGATACGATAAATTTTAAAAAAGTTCTTAAATTTGTTTCTTATAATGATAATATAAAATAAATGCTTCAGAGACTTGATTATTACAAGGAAACAACCAGATACTGACCTTTTTGGCAGAGGATTTTGCAGGGTTTGTTGTTTCAGGAGGAAGAAACTGAGACAGGTCTCCCATGTAATCTTCTTCATCTGCTTCTTCATGCTGTTTTGGTTCACTGTCTCTTTGCTTCTCTGTTGATTCTCCCATTCTTTGTTGATACACAGTGACAGAGAGCTCAAAGCACAATTTTTCAGAGGAACTATATAGGCCAATTTGGGCCCATAAAAAGACTTTTGGCAGCCCAATTCCCAAAGAGCCCAAAAAGAGTGCTACTTGATGCCACGTGTACTCAACAGCCATAACTGTCTTTGGCTGATGTGGCTGATCTCAGTTAAACACACATATGTCACGTGACCAATCACCTTCGTTATGACTCCCTCTCTCGCAGCAGCAAACAGGAAGTCAGAAACCGCTCCAAATTCCCTCCCTCTCGTTCATGTAAGAATTTTCTGCTCTGTTTGGTCACTGAGAAAACAAAAAAGGAAAAGGAAATTAAGAATCTTTCCTTCATCTTTTAATTTGTTAGTCTTTGTAGTATCCAAGCTTTAAATTCATCTTCATTTTCTCGGGAACCAAACAGGAGCCAGAGAAAAATTTGTAAAGATTTGAGTGCTTCCTGTTTGTTTATAGGCGAAAGAAAGTGATGAAATGTGGTTTCTTGGAGCTACAATTCCGAACCAGAGGCTGCACTCATGTTTTACAGTGATTGAGTTCTTGGCGATTCTTGCTTTGCAAGCTTGTGCTTCTACTAATCCTCCTGATAGTAAATCCTGTCAATTTCATTGTTAATCTTTCCTTTTTTAGTGATCTAATGAGTGTTGTGTGGTTTGTGAGAATGTTGTTTTTCGTTTTTATCCAGGAATGCATGCTCTTTCTCGTCTGTTTGCATGCTAAGAAAATGGAGAGATTTAAGGGCAGGATTTGTAATCGGAACTATTATTTAGTGACTCATCAACAGGGAATAAATTTTTCTTTTTACGTTTTTTAATTCTTTGGAAAAAGAAGAGGATAGACTCCTGACTCAATTAAGAGTTTAATGTGATTTTCTTATAAAAATAAAGATCTTAATTCAATTTTCTTTTCTTCTTCTTGGTTTTCTCAGAAACCAAACAGAAGGTCAGAGACCAAAAAACATTTTTAGCTTCCTTTCCTTTTAGCGGAAAAATGCAAGGGAGAAAATTGGCTGGAAAAATAAGAGAATAGGATGCGATTCACTATATTCTCGACGTTTCCCATTATTTTTAGGCAATCATCTTGTGTTTTAAATTAAGTCTAAAAAGTGATGATTTGGGCTTAATTGCATCATTTTGACTCGTTTTTATGTGTTTGTTTATCACTTATCACCCTACAAACTATCGACTGATTATTCTGGATATATAATCACATAGTTGTATTCTATTTTAAAGTGATTTTGTGGAACCTTATGATTTCAGTTGGTTGAAAATTGCAAATATTTACATAACTGTTCTACAAAGAACACATTGCTAATATTTGTGAAGCTAACCACCTTAGTCAAAAATGGTGGGAGAAGGTGTAGTCATCCTTTTTCACCTTAGTCAAAAATGATAGGAGAAGGTGTAGCCATCTTAGTCAAAAATTGTATGCACCACACCGCCCGCGCCCCCCCAGCTAAAGGGAAGGAGTAGATCCATGTAGGGTATCATGGACTGAATTTGCTTTTAGTAGGATGGAAATCGGTTCTATGAAGGGGCAAATTATCCTGCCTGGAAACTTCCTTTGGATAATGGATCCATTTGGAAAAATTGTAATTTTCCCTCATCGACCGAGTCGAGTGTCATTGACAATTATCTCAAGGTAAAAAGGACACAAGAAGAAAAGACGGGGCTCTGGCGGGAAAGTAAGACTGTTAAAATGAAGGTAAGTGCGTGACTAATCTTCTCAGTTTTTTCGTTGTCACACAACATTGTAGGATACTACTGCAACAGTAGGCTGATAACGTGAAAAGTTTCTGCATGTTTCTTTGACTTGTGAATGTTTCAAGGAGACTTCTTTTAGAGAAACTTGAACCGTTGTATGTCAGAAACCTTTTTACAAGAGAATCTGTGAGCTTCGGGTTTCTTTCTTTCTCAAATCCCTTGAATGTTAGCTATTTTCATGTCATTCAAACTGCATCAAATGCATCTCTAGTCAAGTTAACCATTTATGTAAGTGATAGTGGACGAAGAAGGGCTCATTCAATGTTGACCACTGATACAAACAGGCTTCTGAAAGTGCTATTGGTGACACGGCTATATTGCTCCATGAGGAACAAGTAACTGACAACACAAAGGGTGACATTTATGCGGTTGGAGTGTTGCTTTTGGAGCTATTAACAGGAAGGATGGGGCCTTTTGACAGGTCGACTTTATCCCCCCTGCCTCAACCAAATTGTCGAATAATATTCTGATATACTTGTTGTTTATTTGCTTAGAATTCTGTCTCTAACACAGCTCAAGACCGAGAAAAGAGCAATCTTTGGTGAAAGGGGCTTCATCTCGGCTACATGACAATGAGAGTTTAATTCAGATGGTTGGTCCAGGCATAAAGAACAGTCTCCTCCAAGACCCTCTCTCGGTTTGCAGATGTCGTCTCACTGTTCATTCAGGTATTGACACAAACATTTGTAAACAATTTCATCCGACTGTAAATTAGAAAAGTTGGATTTATGGAATTATTCATTGAGGTTTTCCCTTTTTTCCCCGTGAAAATTGAACGGTCTGAAGTTTAATTCAGATGGTTGGTCCAGGCATAAAGAACAGTCTCCTCCAAGACCCTCTCTCGGTTTGCAGATGTCGTCTCACTGTGCATGCAGGTAACATTTGTAAACAATTTCATCCGAAAGTAAATTAGAAAAGTTGGATTTATGCAATTATTCATTGAGGTTTTCCTTTTTTTCCCCGTGAAAATTGAACGGTCTGAGAAGTTCCTCCGCCCACCTATGTCTGAAATTGTTTCATCACTGACAAGTCTGCAAAAATTCACTTATGCAAAAAGTGGTGCAATGGAAGGTGCTGAAGGAGACCATTTTGAGAGGTCTTTCCGTTCAACTAATACCCGCTTCATAACCTCACCAACACCAAGTTACATTTCGGTTTGATTTTTGCAATCGGTCAGCTGATTCAGGAAATGATTTACTGTCAGAAGCATTGTACGAGCATGATATTTGCATTTCCAGTTAACTGCTTTTAGTACAAGATCCTTAGCAATCAAGCAATTGCTGCATGGCTTTCCATTACATGTATTATCAGTGTTAGCGTAAGGAATTAACTTCTCTGATTCATTTACTTGCTTTATTTTTAACATTTTCAATGTAGTTCTAAAAGGATTTTATTTTTTTTAAACACGTGTCATTTTTAAAATTTTCAATATTTTTCTCATGAAATCCGTGTTGATCATACTTTTTTTTTATAAATAAAATATAATAAATAAATAAAAAATATATGGACAAAAAAAATTAAATGAAAAGAAAAAAAACAAAGAACTAAAATGAATTTAGGTTACTTGTTGGATTAAGCATATGGGGGAAGATGACAAGTTTTTTCACCAAGAGCCATTAAAAAAAAAAAAAAAACCTAAAGAAAACACCCAGAAAAAAAACATACTTATATATATTGCTCATGATACATTTATATTAAAATTATAATAGCCTAGGTAGTGCTCATTATAGTAACAATAATAGAGTTATTTTTTTTTTAGTTCTGGAAGTTGAAAAGAAATCTTCACCAAAAATTTCAATACGCTTTTGATCATGCATGGTTTAAATTATGAAATGGAGCCAGTCATAGCTTTGAAAATTTATTAGGTATTTCAGTACATTGCTTTTCATAACTAGTTCGATTAATTATATTAATTAATCTTTTTTTTCGATCCTTTTTACTAACAATAAGCCTTTTTTTTTCCTTTTCTTTTTTTATCTCAATGCAAAGATATCCTCGAGTTGGTTGTGGTCTTAAGAACTCACTTATCAATACAGATGACAATAAATTATTTAAAACATTGAATCTTACCTAGAAATTCTAGCTCTTAAAAAAAACATACTCACTGACCAACCAAACAAAGCTTCCAAGAGTATGACTTCAAAATGAAAAACATTTAAAATAATGGTAATATTATGTTCTTTTTTTTTTAAACATGGTTTGAATCTTTATAATTAATCAGACATGCTTATGCTTACCATAATTGAATTATATATACCTATAAAATAAATTATATGAATTAACAAAAATATTAGTAATAAAATTGTAATATCTCATGTATTATTAAGTTTAGATTCAGGTGAAAGATTTTACCAATTAAGTACATGTCTTAAGAGATTAATGCTAAATGATAAGATTAATGCTAAATGGTAAAACTGATAAAAAATTTACTTATAGATAGGCATTTTAGATGAAAATAAAACCTGTTATATATTAATCATCCTGAGAAATATAACTTAATTGGTTAAGACTTGTATTTGCTCTCTAAAGTTTACTAGTTCAACTCCCACAAACCTCAAAATCATTTAAAATTTATATAATTATTAACTTTAAAATTTATGAAATTAATTAAGTTGTGGAATTAATTAAGCTGCATGTAAACCGACCCAGACAGTAATGATAATATATATAAACAACCTATCATGTATTAAGTTTCCACATACGTTCAGTTCTAACATTATGATTGGAATTTGACAAAATGATAGCAAAATGCTAGTTTAAGATTGTGATGCTCCAGTTGACAGCAGGAGATACCAAAAGTCTCTCGAGATTTTAAGCACCAATTCCACTACTCAACAAGGCATTGATCTCTCCGATTATATTAACAGGTCTTCCATCAAACATGGACGAAAGTGTAATCTCACAGTTTCTTCAGCTCCCTGGTTTTAACAAGAGCTGCTTCCTGCAATTGAAACAGCAATAGTTCAATTTGTTATTGAAAAACTCAACAATCAACTTTTCCATTTAATTTTCCTTTCCAAGGAATCTTCACCCAAGAATATTTGTCTGCATCTGGGAGCTCTTGTTATGACCTAAATTTAAGGTAAAACCATGAGGTTCAGTGCAATTATCCAAAGACCCTTCATCAAACATATGCAACAGGATCATGTGTTTCCAATATCTTGAAAATAAACTAGAATGCATCAATGCAACAAAAATTACAGGACGTGACCAAAAGCAAAATGTTTAATGAAATTCATCTTGTAAATTCCCCAGGCAGTTCAGGAGTTGACCATCACAATTATC